TTTTAAAAAAGAGGCCAGACTTATGAAAAAAATCTTTTAATTGAAAAAAAAAAACAAAAGGCATGTTTTTGACAAGTCTTTTAGTAAAAAAAAAAAAAAACCTCAAAAAATTGATCTAATGAGGTAATCCGGGGTCAATCACGATGTCTGGCGTTGTCCACGACAAGGACAACTCAACTAAATAAAAAAATAAAACAACAAAAAATAAATAGAAATATTAAAAAAACAAAAAAGCCCGCAGACCCATCCACTCGCGACAAACTTCCACCGCAGAATGGCATTCTGACAGATGACGGCAAAATATTAAAAAAAGGGCGGAGTCTGACAGGTATAAATATAAATTGTTTATATACATATAAACAATTGGGCGGCATCTGACAGGTGAGCCATGATTGGGCAAAGTCATCATAACTTTGCCCAATCATGGCTCTTACAGAGTACTGGGCCCTGATTGGGCAAAGTCTTGCACCTGACCTGTGGTCAGCTGCAAAGCTTCAGCCAACCAGGGCTCACAAGGCACACAAACTTCCGATGTTCGAGTTGAACTCTTGCTCGATTTGAACATCGAGCCCTTCCCTACTTATACTATTCTGAATTTCCAATACACCAATTGAAGGGTAGTTAAATTCTCCCATTTTTACCACTGTTCAGGCCTCTGCAGCCCTTACTATCTGTGTAACAAACTGCAATAATTACCTTTGCAGTATGCACACCCGTATGTAACACCACCTACAATGCCTCAGCACAATCACACTCTCAATCAACAAGGTCCTGTTTAACACTCATTTTTAGACACTGCCACCTTTTTGTTTTACCCAGTCTCTCCAAAAGACAGCATAAAGCAGGAATAATAACAGCCCAATCATGCATAGAGCAAAGCTAACATTTAACAATACCAATCAAACTATAGTGCTTTTTATGCACCAAAGCTTCCAAATCTCCTATTTTGCTTGGCAGGCGCTGGCATTAGTAAACACTTTAATCCATTGTTGCATTTTGCACTTGTAATAATCATAACTTTTTGTAATAAAAAAGTACTGTAACCATTTATGTTTGTTTGTAACATGGGAATCCCCTTATTACCTGTTATAGCCCTCCCCCAACTTCTCCTATTCCACTCTTCATGATTTAACTTCCCCATTATATTCTAGTTCTCACTCCTCAGTTCTAGTTTAACAGTCTATTTAGGTGTAACTATTTTCAGCATCTACTGTATATACAACCTATGTTGTACCCGAAGTTACAAGTTGAGAAGTTAGCCCAGTGCTCTAGAAACCCCAATCCCTGGTCCCAATTCTTGTTTTTCTCTCTAAGCTCCTGCTGTCCTTCCTGTGCTGTGTGTGGCACAGGCAATTTTGCAGAGAATAGGACCTTGGCGGTCTTCCCCTTCAATTTACAGCCCAACTCTCTTAATGGATTCTTAAGAATCCTTCATCTTCCAGGGTCATGCCCAGCCCCTCCCAGTAATTTGTCTACCCAGTCCACCACATGCCAAACCCTAGCACCAGGGAGACAGCAGACCATCCTTCCCGATTATAGATTCTCCTATTACCATCAGCGGTGTAGGCCTTCTTGCATTATTCTCACCATGCCTACTAGTAGATGGGCTACTCTCCTCGCACCCTCTAAGCGGTGACATATAGGGCTGCCACCTCAGCTTAGCAATTTTGTTTGTTTATTGACAGAGAGCTGGTTTTACACAATGGGCTTTACCTTCTAAACAAACCAAACTGTTTTTTTGACAATGGAGGGGCTGCCCGGTATTGTTTCCACATTATTCGTATCACAATGGGATGGTGATATGGGGAAGCCTTGTGTAAACAGTCACACCTAGGTTGGTTAAGACTCAAATCAAATCTGGACTACTGATGACAATGTATGATACAACACCGCCACCTAGAGGTGGGAAAGTGAAATGCATGGTATTTCAATTATATATAAGTTTAGGGGGCAACACCCACAAGTGGGAGGCCATTTTCTCTCAATAAAAGCCAGTAGCTCAAAGGTTGAACAGGACTTCACAGGAGGGGGACAGTACAAAAGGGCATCACTCTAATACAAAGGATTTAGCCCAGACTGCAACGAGAAGCCATTTTCCTACGAACTACAAGTAAAGTAAAGTACACGTAAAGTACTTTTAAATGCTACTTGGGTCAGTTTCCTTGAGCTTTACTGCAAGAACAGACAACAAATAGAAATTAAAGTTTTGCCAAGCTTTACAGCTGGGCTCATACTTGAGATAAGCTTTACGTCCCTGGGATTTGTAGTCCAGAGCATTACAGATGCTCAAACACCGGACTGCCCTTTCTTTTCTGTTTCCTAGCTGGTCATCTTCACTCTCCCACCCTCCACATAAAACCCATTAACTGCCTGCTCAGTGAGCAGAAACTCTCAAGGTTGGCAAGTCTCCTCAGTGATGCAATTTGCACTTCAAGATCTCAAACATGAAGTTCCAGGAGAGCAACCTGCTCACATCTGTTATAGCAGTATTCATCCTGGAGCTGGAGCAAAACCTTCAACCTTGCTAGCACAAATTATCCTAGATATATAATATTACAGGAAATGTAAGGTGTCACTTATAGGTTGCTGACTTCTGTTGTTTTAACTCCACTTAGTTCAAGCCACTTTGTTCACAAGTCTCTGTGAGCAAGCTCAATGTGAATTGTTAATGTCAATGTGAATAATCAATGTGAATTAATTATTAACTAGGGATGTCCCGATACCGATGCTAGCATTGGAATCGGGCCCAATACAGGGCATTTTGACAAGTACTAGGTGGGCACATACAGCTGTCACAGACTTTATTGCGGTTCAGTGTGAAAAACCGGTTGTTTTTTTACACTGCATTGCAGTAAACTCGGACAGTGACAGCTGTATGTCTTGGCGGCTGCTGTGCGGGGATGGGACAGGTGGCTCTGTAAATGCCTGTCACTGCAAGGAGTGTTTAGCCTGGCGGTGCCTGTACAGTCTCTGCAGGCACCGCCAGGCCACAACATCCCGCACTGGCGGCAATACCAGGGACGCAGTGGTCGCGATTGCGACCGGGCCCTGGCATTCCGCCTGTTGGGGGGGGCAGAGAGGAAGAAGAGGGCCCCCCACCCCGAGATAGTGCTCCTTCCCCACCGCTCTGCCACACGCAGCATGTACAGGCGGCAGGGCTGGAGAGGCTGTCACTTTTTTTTTTACTTACCACGTCACGCCGAGCGTCGCGTCACTGCTTCTCCGGTGGACAGCGCTCCAGGCAGTTGCCGGCCACCTAAATTAGGACCCCACCTGGAGCGCCGCCCACCGGAGCAGCATTGACGCGACGCTCCTCTCCAGCTCAGTGCCGACGACGTCCTCACTTGAGAAAAATCGTGAGGCACCGCGATCGAGGCAATAGTGAGTAAGACGGGGCCTGGGCTTAGTTTTTTGTGTGATCTACTGCTGCAGCGCATTCTATATGTACTGTACATATACAGTACATATAGAATGCACTGCAGCAATAGAGTTACAATTCTGCACTGCTAACATGAATTGGTTAAATGATCCGTAACTACATGTTACGTACTATTATGTACTATGGATCATGATTTAACCTATCATGTTAGCAGGGGATAATTGTAACTCAAGTACTGCAGTGCACGGGACATGTGTGCTGTATATGTACTATGGATTATGATTTAACCTATTCATGTTAGCAGGGCAGAATTGAGAGCGCCTCCCACAATCTGAGCACCGAGACGCGATGCAGTGATCCGAGACTACAAAAGGCACCTCGTGAGGCACAGGGATCGGAGTGAAACTGTGAGTGAGGGAAGCTGGGACAGGGCTGGCTGTAAATCTATTGCTATAGTGTACTGGATGTGTGTAATGTATATGTAGTACATATATACAGCACACACCTCCACTACACACCAGCAATAGAGTTACAATTCTGCCCTGCTAACATGAATAGGTTAAATCATGATCCATAGTACATAACATGTAGTTGTACCATGGATCATTTAAAGTCACCTGTCCCTTTTAAAAAAGTATCGGTAATTGGTATCGGCAAGTACATGCGGGGAAGTACTTGGTCCTGAAAAAGTGGTATCGGGACATCCCTATTATTAACCCAAACCTGTGATCACATATTCATTCCTCTAATAAGTGAACTACAAAGCAGAAAAAATTGCTGTTTAAAGTACCAGGAAATAAAAGAGAGAACTGAACCAAAAAAAGGGGTGGCTCCGCCCAGCTGTCATTTGCGTGGAGATTGGTCGGCTTTGTTTGATCTTTCTTCATGACTCGCCTGTCAGTACGGCTCAGCTGAGCCAAAGCATATGGGTTTGGCTCGGCTGAACCACTCGGATGCCGTACGGACTATAGTGAATTGCCCGTACAGCAGCCCTTCGGTTCGACTGAACTGAAGGACTCAGGCAGCCGAAGTGAACTGAAGGATCAGCCGATGCTACAGCTGGATCCTTCAGCTTATTAGTGAATAACGTTCTAAGTGTTTTTTTGCCTTCCTTTGGATCAACAATGGGTATAGGATTCTGTTTATGCATGTTTCTATTTACTTCTTCTTTTTTTTTATATTTGCCTCTTCTTCTTTCTTTTATATATACTGTATACTGCTGTGGAGGACCTGTGCGAGAATGCAAAAAAATAAAAAACATGAGTACAGCAAGGGAGGGTCATTTTCATATGGCTTTGAGGGTGACCTGGAAAAAACACAAATCTTTTAAATTACATGTTTGGGGATGGCTTAACGTTGTGCATGGTGTTACAGAACCAGCATGCGTTCCAGGGACAACCTCAATGACATAATACCGTGGAAGACTATTCTTGGCTGTTGAATTATTTTTTTTTCCTTTACAATTTGCTGTGCTTACAGACAGCAGCAACAACCTAATCTACTATTATTTGATTCATAGCAGTTAAAAAAAAAAAGTTTTCTTAGGTAGGTTAGCAACAGCATGCATGTTTTTTCAAGCATTACAAGGCCTGCTTTGATCAGCTCCAAAATACTTGTATTTATTGTTTTAATGTCAGAACAGGCAGCATTGCAGATGTGCTCTATTCCTCTTCCTCCACTAATTCTGCCACAACCCTTGAAACTGTCTACATCTAGAGTTGGCGTACTTGTTTAAAAATTCAATTTCTGGCTTGTTGCAGGACTGGAAGATTCTAGGGATGTGTAGCTCTCTTTGGTTTCTCCATATAATTTCTATCTATCACCTTTACATTTAGGCATGTTGGTGCTGCCATCAAAAATATCTGTGAACTGTAGTTCTAATTTAATGGAAAGACAGGCACCTACCTGTGGCTAGTGTATGGTGGGATACATTTTCATGTAAGCGGCAGCCCCACCATCATTTGTGTCAATGTGTTTAAACGTCGGGTTCACAATATAAAGATAATGAGGATAATTGGGTGCTTGGTGACTGGCCTCTATGGCAAGAGGCACCAGAGCCCGGTGCATGCTGCAAGTCATCACTCCGTAGAATACACAGAAATGCCTCTCCACTCCTGGCTACTGAATAGAATAGTAGTGAAGCTAAAGAAGGGAAGTATGTGCAGCTGCAGAGGGCATCAGTTAAAGTATCTAAACCTAAGAACAAAAATCTAATATATTACAGATTACCAGTCCTTAAATTTGGTAGTTGCATTTAGACTTTTATTTTTAGGACAAGTACTTGATGCAATGACATGAAGGAGCTACTGGATTTAACAGGCTCTTCTGCTTTTCGGCCAGAACATCTATTATTTTTAAACTTTAACAGACCAAGCTGTCTAGAAAGAGTGGCAAACAGTGGGTTGAGACAAACCATTTAACATTGACAGGGGTGCTTACAATAGCCAGATTTTGTGCATGCATGTAAAGCCTTCAACCCAGAAGGAAAAACGTGTTGCTGTAACTGCTTAAAAAGTGTTTAAAGTGTTTAAAAGCTTTGATTTATTAGTTAAGTTCATCTAAATCTGCTAGTGCATCTAACATTACCCTCTCCACAGGTGGACAATGTTGCTGTCCACCTGTGGCTCCTTTTGCTCTTATATAGAGTGGAGCCTTCTTAAAGGTGCCCATAAATCTTACAATTATCTGCAGATTTTCTGTGGTCAGATGGAAAAAGTGCAACAGATTGGCCCAGGTGGAGATTACTCCATCCACACAGTTAAGTTTAGATGGAGGAATCTGTTGCACCTTTTCCATCTGACCACAGAAAATCTGCAGATAATTGTAAGGTGTATGGCCAGCTTAAAGGTCCCCACACACCTTACGATAATCGTATGATAATTGCGGGAAATCCCACGATCGTACGATTATCGTAAGGTGTGTGGAAGCCGTGCGACCTCTACTACTGTAAGGTCGCACGACTTTAAAATTACGAACATGTTTCAAAACCCGCCGAGCATCATACGATGTTCGGCGGGTCTGTAGCATGTTCGTAAGATAAAAGCCGCATGGGCCGGTGTGCGCAAGCGCACACTGCCCGTTCGGCATTGCGGTCATCGGAAGCCCGCCCCTCAGGGGGCGTGGCTTGTGATCATCGCAAGTACGATCTGCCTATGCAAGATAGGCAGATCGTTTGTTTTTTTAAAGTACCTTACAACCATCGCAAGACATAAGTCTTGCGATGGTTGTAAGGTGTGTGCCAAGCCTAAAGGTGGCCATACACTCTACAACCATCGCAATACTTTAGTAAGAAAGTATGTTACCAGATCACCAGGTGAAAATAAAGGGGAAACAAAACATAAAAAAAGAGAACTAATGCAGACATAGCATTCAAAGATTGGTTAGCTGTACTATATTACATTTTTGTTTTGGGGTTTATATACAGTTTAAGGCAGGGTCCCTACATACATGTTCTACAAGTAAAAAAAATACCTGTGGCTCCTGATAGAAATTCAGTATCCTTGTAACTACCTGTGGTCTGAATTGAAATCTCATACCATGTTGTCAACTTTCTAAGCTATCTTCTGTTAGCTACAAAACCCTTCATCCCTATGTAATGAAGATGAGAAGAGGTGTGTGTATTTGTAGTCCAAATCCTTCAGAGTTGTCACCCAAGGACAGGAAGTGTGTTACTGGCAGGATTAGCATTTGTAAATAAAGAAAACAATGCATGAAAAAAAAAAGAAAACTAATGCAGTCACCACATCTAAGAACTGGTAAGCTGCAAATAAGATTGCTTTTTGTTTTTGGATTTAAACATGCTTTAAGTGTACCTGTTGCTTTTTGCTTCATGAGTACAGATTAACTTCAACTCTCCAAGCATTCCAACCATCTTCATTGCAGCTAAGAAAAGGTAATGGCACAACCCTCACTGTTCCTATTAGTTTGGCCATGTGAGCATTTTGACATTGTAATGCTGGAATCCTGGGTACATTTTCCTTGATGGACCCTATCAGCATAGAGCTTTCCGTGTAGTATGGTCTCCCTGAGTTCACATACGTTTCCTCCAGACACTTTAATCTTCCAGAAAAATGTGGCCTGAAAATTGTGTGTTTGTGTGAGTGTTGTAAGGACATTTAATTATAAAATAAAATGTTTTGATAAAACTATATGAGCTGTTTTCTCTGTATTATCATATTTTGATATGGCTCAGAATTTTAGCCTATTGAGATTAAAATAACACAAGAGTTGTTGGAATAGGTTTTCCATTTTTCCACAGTCCTAAAATACATCTGGTCTGGCTCCTGCTGTGTTTAGAATGTTCATGTAAACATTTTTTACTGAATGCTATTTTTTCCTTCTGACAGATGGAAATTTCACTGATTATGATTATTAATGATTACTGAAGATTCTCAATTAAGTGGGTAATGTCACAAAAGTCTTAGTTCCTTTTCTCATAAGGTAATCAAGTTGGGACCTCCAGGGAGCTTGCTTGGTCTGTGCCCCTGCGTTGGTACCCAGCTGACTTAAACTGGAAGATAATAAATATTGGCAATAGCAGATCCACTGATTTGTGACGTGTTTGCCTGCTTCAATTTTATGAGACATTTCTGGTGTCAATTTCCAGTATGTGTATGGATGTCTTTGGCCCATTTTGACTGCTGTGAGGCAGAAAAATAGGAGTAGACCAGGGAACTCCAGAGAAGGAGGCTTAATCCTGGGAGTAAAAGACCATTTATTAAGATGACAACTCTTAGCTGAGTTGGTAAGTAAAGGCCTAGCTGGTTTACAAAAGCAAGACCTGAAGACCCAAGTCAAATCAGGCACCTCTACTGAGTTGACCATCGCTGAGTTCAACTAACATCTGACAAGATGGAAGTATCTTCTTTTGAAACAGCTGTGTTGGAGCCTTCATGTTAGTGGTTAACCTGGGCAGGACTGTTATTTGCTCTGCCTGCTACAGGCATTTCTGTGTTCCTGGTAAATGCATGCTTTTAAGGAGAAGTTAGGCTGCTGCCATCTCTTTAAGTTCAGAGTGTGCCTAAGCTCATAGTGCTGATTGCTTCTGCCAGCTACTTTTGCATATGTTCAATTAATTTAGAATTATAAATATTCATAGCTCAGAATATTGATCAGCCCAGCCAGTCACTGAAACTCAAAACTCCTATCTAACCCCTTATTAACACTAATCTGCCCTAATTATTATTTTTCTACTTTTTTATATTATTACCACTCCATGAAAGAAAACATCTATTTGTAAGTAACTTCACCATGTTTTGTACCTGAAATGTAATTTCAGAAAAATGGGCAAATTATAGAGTAAAATGTACACTTTTTATTTCCAGTGTATTGTATTAAAACAATTGTTGATGAGGTTTGCTATGTGCTTTTGTCTTTGCATAGAAAATAAAATATTTTTGGAAGACAATATTGCCTTACACATACTGTACTTTGGTATTGTAAGTAATGAGAAAGTTATTGACAATTGACACTACACTCAGGATTTAAATCTTAAAATGCATTCAAGTACCTTACCTATTAACAAAATGTAGCTTATTTGTGGTCCCTGTGTGAGTTGTAAAGTAGTCACCTCTTCAAGCTCACTCCTGTGATGGACTACAATCTCACATTTAGTTTACTAATTTGTATTGAGATTACAGTCTGTAGCCTCCTTACCCTAGCTGGGTGACTATCTTTTAAATGTAGTTATGCTAGGACTGTACCCAGTCTAGCTAATGACTAGTCTGTACTCATTTGGCTTTCCCTAAGGATTCTGTTATTGATTGCATCTGTCTGCTGCTGGGAGTAATTTTGCCACAGAACACAGCAACCAATAACTGGAATATTATGGATATGTATGTCTCTCCAGCCAATCACTTGGAGTTTCATAGCCAGTGGTGCATGCTGGTAGAGGACATAAATATCCAGGTGTGACCACGTGAGGGCCTCTTTCCCCCCTGGGCTTCTGCCTGGAGGAGGATGCGTTATGTGTGAGCTGTCTGACCAGGTTTGCATTCTGCACCTAGTCGGAGTCAGGAATAATTCTTGGGATGGAGAGCCAGGGGGAACTTCATCTGCTGGCTGTGCTGGATGAGCCAGGATGGGCTTGGACCTAGCTGGGAGTCTGGTGTCTCACCCAGTGGAGAACATGTCTACTAACCAGCTATGGTTCTCTGGCACAGTGTCACTGCATTTTTGGTTTAAAGGCCATTTGCACTGTGGAGGTGGAAAGCATTTGGTAAGTCTCGAGCTCTGTGTTATCCTAGATGTCTTCAGCCCTAACCCCTCTTCCTATTTTTGCATCCCATGGAATAAAGCATTAGAAAAATTATTTAAGTGACTGGCACCCAAATTCTTTATTGTTGCTTCCACATCCAACATACTGGCTAAGGACTCATTCCTGAGGTGAAATGTCAGCTTCTCCTGTCCCTAGAAGTCAGACACTACAAGTCTATCTCAGAAGTGAGCTTGGAGGGTTGGCTACTTTACAACACACACAGGGACCATGGAGAACAAAAGTAGTCACCCTCCAGAAGGAAGGACAGTGTCAGCACAAAGAGTGATACACAGATAAGCTACATTTTTGTTAATAGTTAAGGTACTTGACTGCATTTTTAAGATTGAACTTAAAGTTAACTGGTCAGTTGGCTTAACCATGTTTACTGGATAGCAGACACCCCCAGTTGACTATCCATTTTTGAATTGTCAGCTTCTTTGCAGATTGTCTCACTAGCCTCCAGTCCTGGCGTGTTCTAAATACACCAACATCCTAAATTGCCAAAATGTTGCCCCATCCTTCCTAATGTCTGTACCTTCTTTTTGCCTGTGAGGCCACCCAACAGATTGCTGGCTAAACATATATCATTTTTGAATGGCTACAAATTAATTAATATTTAACCAACTAGAATGTATTTTATTGTAGTCAATGAGTGTAGTCAGTTCTTCAGTGAGCTATTAATTCAGATTGGGCCATATGAGTTACTGCTCAATATCCATTTCAGTTTTCCTAAATAATAATAGTAATAATAATAACAACAATAATAATAATGATTAGCAAAAGTGTGCCTACTGTCACCATGGAGTGGGGGGCATTGTGCAAGGTGGATGGGAAGGGCAGTGAGCCAGGAACAAGATGGGTGGGAGGCAGGTGTTGTAAGCAGGGGCCAATGTAGTTTGGAAGGGATTATTGTGTCTAGGAGAGGGGCACTGTAACTAAGGAATGAGGTAAACAAGAAGTGCTGTAACCAACAAGGGGCATCAAGTTACAAGGTGGCTGCCTGTTATGTGCTGTGTAATGAGTTGCCTGTGTGCTGGGGGCAAGTTGGGCTGCAGAGAAGAGCTATGACATAGGGAAGAGGTTGGTGGGATGGAAGAGGCCTAGACTGCACAGCAAGGATTACATAACCAAATGCCTGGAAGCAAGCTGAGGAGAAGCTGGCTGTACCGGAGGAATGTTGTCAGGTAGGTTGTTTATTAATGAGAATACTCATCTAATATATAGATTATTAACCACAACCGCAAGAAGTAGCTAAGGTGTTGACAATTGAGGAGCTAGCTATCAATCAGTTGTTGAGGACAGATATTGGTCTTTAAAACGATTTACTGATGGGTGCACACAGACAGGGCATATAAGAAAATGTATCCTAGTACTGCATTTCAAAGAACTCAATCATAGTTTGTTAAAGTAGATGTAAACCCAACCACTATAATCTCGTATAAGCTTTAATAAAATAATTTAGCTTGGAAAAAGGTCTGTTTAAATGGCAGCCAGCAACATTTAAGAATCATGCCCTTTGAAAAGCATATGCAGCCTGTTATCAGTGTAGTGCTCGTGGACAGGGACAGGCTGTAAAGCAGTTGCAGGACACCAGCAGCTCTAACATGTAAAAACTCTTCCCTCCCCCACCCCCAAATTCCCAAAGAAACATGTTATTTTGCTACCTAGAGTACTGTCAGTAAGGATTTACATCTATTTTAAGAGACCATTACCTACCAGCTCTACACTAATCTGTCCCTATGTACTTAATAAAGCAGGATATAAATAAATGATGGCTTACATAGGTGCTATGCGCTACATGCAAAAAAAATGCCACACATGTTAGAACTAGATTATACAATCTCCCTCAGACTAGCCAACAGAATCAGCAAGTGCTAACCTGTTTGTATATATATACAATGGGGTCTATTCACTAAGCTGCCGTAGGCAGCCGAGTGAACGACCGACCTGAAGCGAAGTGAGCCGAATGCTGTTCGGCTATTCACTTCAGGCTGGTACGGCTGATTCCAGCCATATATCGGCTGAAATCAGCCATACATCAGGTGGCTTCGGCTGGCTTCGGGTCGGCCGAAGATGCTCAGCATGTTCGGCCGACCCGAAGTGCAGAAGGAGTTCAACTCAGCCGATCCAACATCTGGATCGGCTAAACCGAACCTCCGGCAGGCTACTCGCTGCTGTTCGGTCTATTCTCATAGAGGCCGAACAGCAGTGAGTAAGTAGCCGAATGCCGCTGAGCGGCCGAGCAGAACAGAAAAATAGTTTAAAAAGTACAAAAAAATAAATATAAAACGATTGTGCGGAGTTAGCAGTGACAGATAGCTACGCCCAACTGTTTTCTATTGGCCGGGCGGTTCTACTGCCGTCAAAAAAAAAAAATGTTCGCAATAGGAATGCATTGCTAGATTCCTATTGGCTATTTCAATTTCCAATAGCCAATAGAAAACTGACAGCAGCAGAGGATGGGTGCAATAGCTAATCACTAGAGGGGACCTGATGGAGAACTGCAGGTCCCCTCTGCTGATTGACAGCAGCAGTGGGCGGGTGCAATAGCTAGTTTGCTATTGGCTATTGCAAATTGAAAATTTTTTTTTTATTATTCTGACGGCAGCCAACGGCTCCATGTCAGAATAAAAAAA